GGTAGGAGCCAGCCACAGCAGGAGAGGCAACAGGAGCTCCGCTCACAGCAGCGTTCCCCTCTGAGACCCACTCCCAGTAGGAGATATTGTCACAAGTGGTGTCACCACCTGATGAGGCCATTGGAACCAGTCAGATGCTATCCAGAAGCACAGCCCCGCATGTATTGCTGTAGGTATTAACATTCATTTCAAATGAAGTTTCTAAGCAGTCAGTGCCCTTATTTTGTGCAGTGAAACTGAGGTACTCAGTATAGAAACGAGATAACGCACACTGGATCTAAAGGGTATGTGAAAGTTTGGGTGGTTATTGTGTTGGGGGAGCTTATGTCCATACCAATGTATTGCAGCATTGATAAAATCCTCAGCTGGATGCTCCCCACTCTCTTGAATTTGGATCCTGCTGTGTCGGACCCATTGCTCTTGAGTGTTCCTTGGGATTTATAGGCTGCGGCACTGACTCTGTCCTTGATTTCTTGGGCACAGGCTCTGTTTGTTACCTTTGCACAGGAATGGGACCTTGCATCTCCATTGCCTGAGGCCCTCAGGACTGTTGTTGGTACTGTAGACTCTCGAGTGAATTTTATGGCACGGTTTGCAGCGTTCCAGCCGCGTGAGTCCTCCGAGTTAATAGTGCATCCCTTCAGGGATAGTCAGTCATTCAGACATACCTCATATACAGGCTATGGCATTGTGTCAAACTGCAATTTCTTTATTCTTTAGTTAACACAGAAAATGTGCAGGCCGAGGGGAAAATACGTATGGATGCCATTTCCATGCCTTGGCTTCCTCTGTATTCCTGATTGCTCTCATGATGCTGGAGAATCCTCAGTAAGCACTAAGTTTAAGACAAGTGATGCTTTCTCTGTTACTTTAGTTGAAAAGCAAATGAGTGAAAGTTCAGTGTTTTCACTGCCAAATGCAGGTGATCGATCGGCGTAACAGAGGTACTGCAGAGGTATTGCTATTTCACTGACAGGTGGAGTGCTAAAGGAAACACTCCGATGGCGTGGTTTTGCACAGCATGTTTGATGAAGCCTTCAGCTGGTTAAAAATTCTATCTGGTCTTAAAATTGTCCTCCGTGTGAAAATTCCCCCCTGAGAACTAAAGAGCACAGAGCGTTGATGTGGGCCATTAATTCTTCACAGTGGTTGTGAACTGATCAAGTTTATGTGTGGGATAAATTATTCACCTGCTAACAAATGAGGAAACTGTTTGAGACTCAGTATTAGACATGGGATTAACAGTCCTGTTCCATCTGATAGGAACACAAGTCCTAGCTTCAAGTTTATAGTCTCTGACACAACCGTGAACATGTACTTTGGGGATATTTAAACTGTAGGATTTCCCGGGAAGCCAAAAGGTTTCAGCTCCTGTCAATAATTATGTAGACCGCAAAATAATCACAGTGTGTTGTATGTGCCTGCTGTGCTGTAATCCTTCATATATCTTAGGCCAAGTAGGAGAGGAAGAGCATTTCTTATAAGAAATAGCACAACAGAGTCAGAAAGTTTGTATTTGAGCCCTGTTAGAGCTGGGTGACAGCTGAATTGATTTATTCTTTAGTGCCATAAATACAAAGTTAAATTTTGAAGGAAGCTTGCTTAGAGGCAGCATGAGAAGGGTCTTTTATGATGTTAGCAGGAAGCAAATTCCGATTTGGAGTTGGGAAGTTTCTTACTAGTAGTGAAACAACACGCAACTGCTGACTGTGGTGGCCAGTGGTTAGAGGCATGAAAAACAAATCAGCTGAGTTGCAGGCAGAGTTTTATCTATTGAATGTATTAGGCAAATGACTCTGAATTGCAAATTCTATAAAATAGCAGAGTTTTTAAGGCCAAAAGTTTTCTGAATAAATAACCCACAATGGATGAGATGTGGCACTTTGAAACATGGCTTAGTTTCAGAGCAATCCTCGTTGCCAGCTGCGCAAGGTCTGGTTGACAGCTTGGAGATTGCAATCTGTAGACACCTACCTTTAATGCTCCCTAATTGATGACATCCAGAATTCTCAGCAGAGAAGCGAATGCAGGATTGAGTTTTAGAACAGAAAAAGTCCACAAGAATGAAAGTTTTTAGACCACCCACTTGGAAAGAAATGAAGAATCTGCACTGTCTTATTAATCCTGACCTGAGACAGGACTGGTGATTTCTAGTGGGTACTTGAGACAACGCATCTATGGATGGCCAGAGGCGCCCGCCCTCCCTCCCCAGCTGCATAAACAGACTAGTTTTGCAGAGAAAGATTACAAAATCATGCTGACAACTTTCTTTCTGGGCTGTATACTTAATAATAATCAAAGCCAAATGTAAATAAAATATCTCCGATGAGAAGAGCATGTTGCTCAGATTTGCTTCCTATTTATACCAGTTCAATGTGGATAAAATCCAGGTCTTTGTTTTCTGCAATCTACTACGCCCATAATCAGAGCTGGGAAGGCTGCTTCTGACAGGGGCTTGCTTTTAATATCAGGGCTCTGTTTAATGTCAGCTTCTCCAGATGAAATCAACATCATCACCCAACGTTGATGTGATTAAGTAATAAAAAGGAAGGGATGTTTCAAGTGGAGAAACGTCAGTCAGCTTTCTCCGTGGCTGATGTTTTGACTTCCATCTGTTCTAGCTTATATACTGCTCCTCTATGAAAAACAGAAATGTGAAACTCAGAAGGGGCAAAGATAATAGATTTGTTGTAAATCATGTGCCAGCTAATAAACTTCTAAGCTTTGCTGTCACTTCCTACTGAAGTTGGAAAGGAAACGTCAGTGGAAGCAAGACTGTCGAGTAATCAGCAGTCAACTCAAAAGTTGCTTGGGACTGTGTTGGATTTGCATTTGATGAGAGTCTCTGTCCATCATAACTCAGAATCATGAACACTTTGCCACAAACCGTTGTACGTATGTCACCACCTTTTCTTGCTTGTCGTTCCCTCTTCAGGAAAACTGCAGAGCTTGTCCGGGTTATGGTGTTGCGTGTGTTCTGGTAGTCCAACATACTGATTTGTTGGTGATAATATCCAATACCGGGAGCGCATTTTGGTAGTTGCGATGACCAAATTATGGGAGGAGAGGCTTTCTATACTGCAGAATGTGCAGTCTAAAAAGTTCTAGCAAATCCTGCTGTGTCTCCATTTTACACATGGGGAAGTGAGAGACGGAAATGCTAGGAGTAAGGAGCTCTGGAGGCAGAGCCTGAAATTGAAACCTGATAAGCTTCATTTTTTTTTTACCACCACACAGCGTTTGACTTAGAGGCAGTTCCTAGAGGACAGCAGGCAGTCCCTGACTCATCGTTACTAGGATGTGCTAGTTGCAGAAGAGGATTCAAGGCTTGAATAAATGGTGTCATCTCAACTGCCCTTCAGCATACGGCAAGATGAAAAACAAGTGTCAGTTCTGAGAAGGGTGATCTGTTCAGCTTCTCTTCCAACCAAAGCTCGGTGCTATCGTACGAGGGAAGGAGCTTTGGTTTTGCTCTGTGACTTGAAAGAAGATGTGGTCTTCTTGGGTAGCCAGTTTAAGTGTTTTCACAGCCATTTTGTATGGCTGTAGGTGTGTCTAGAAGCTGGGTGATCAAATGGGATATGGAAGTGACATAGCAGGAGAATTTGTTCTCTTTGCAGAAATTAATGGTTTATATATGGTATATAATATATAATGGTTTATATAATGGTTTATATAATGGTATATATATATATAAAATCGAGATGAGGTCTTGTATATGTCTGTTACCTTCTACTGAATCTCTTAAAACCCTTGATATGGACATAAATAATTTGGCCCATGTTCCTCAGGCAGGAAGAAAGAAAACTAATCAGTTTTTTTATTTCGTTGCTGAGCAATTTGAAATAGGGGAGTGAAAGCTAGCCACAGTGGACTTCCCAGGCAGATATTTAGGGTGGCTTTTGGTGTTTCAGACCATGTTACTGTAATAGTTAGCAAGAACTGTCAATTAACTTTCAATGTGTGCAGTTGCACAGCATCGTAATTCCTACTGCAGACATTGCTCCTTTATGAAGGTTTTCTATTCTGTGATTGAAGAACAGATCCCCTGGACCTGGGAGGCAGTTGTGAGTTTGGAGAGTGTGTTTTAAAATATCAGTCTTTCTTTGAAGCCTGTTATGCTTATTTCTTGACCAGGTCCCTCATCCAAACTGAGCCTTTCTCGTTTCAGGGAAAAGAGCGTTCTTGGCAAAATAGAGCACTTACAGATTATGGGTCTTCTAATGAGAGGTCCCTGAAAGGAAGCAGGCAGAGGAGTTTGCTTTGCAGAGGAAAATCCATAAAATATCTCTAGAAAAAGGTGACTCGCTTCTGCCTTCAAGTAAATGGCATTCCTATTGAGAGGATTATCTACAGGAATGTTTGTGTGTCTGACAACGTTCGCACAACCAGGGGTTAGTAAGAAATTTTTCTGAAGCATCTTATGCGGGTGGAATGGCCAAGACAATGTGACTTTGATATAGCTGTACTGCCCAGACAAGGTGCTGTAGGTATGGGGATAGGAAAGCGTAGCACAGGTGGTTTTATGGGTGAGATTATTAATAGAATTCGTCAAGGAATGTTGTTTAATGTTTTATGTGCTGCTAGGCCTATCCGTACCAAACTCAAATTGTGTTGGCTGCTGCTTTCTCAAGATACATGCCTTCCTATTGACATCAACTTCTCATGGCTATTCTAATTGATGTTCTAATACCATTACAGTACTTGTTCATGCCTGCTACTTCTGCCTCGATCTGTTTATGGCTTGCCCGTGAACTGAGCCATAGACAAATGAAAAAATTAGGAAAAAGGTAGGTAGGTAGGCAGGTGGGGCAGCCAGGACAGTAGGCTTTCCAGCTGTTGAATGAAATCAGGTTCTGCAGAGAGCTTGGTTTCAGCATGAGGATCCTCCTGCGGAGTTGTCTGCAGCTGTCAGTGTGAATGCGGTGCTACTCACAGTGCCACTTCTTCCTTGCTCTTCCTCTTTGCCTAGTAATACTCCATTTATTTTGTTTTTACAGTCCCTCGGATCAATGGCCATCCGAAACTGGACAGACACCGTGAGCACCCTCCTGGTTATGACAGCTCTTCTACCATGATGAGCAGTGAGCTGGAATCCAGCAGCTTCATTGACTCTGATGATGATGACAACACAAGCAGGTAGGGCATTGGCACAGTGCCTGAGTTGTTAAATACCGTTTGCATCTGTTTCCCAGGCACTTGACTGTATTTCTGGGCTTTTCTGAAACATGCTGACTGGCGAGGTGAGAAGATTTGTATCTTCTCTTCCCCTCCCCCCCTCCTTTTTTATTTTTAAAATTGCCCTTTCTTTTTTTGTGCTACATATGATTTGAGCACTCATATTTCATCAGTAACAGCATGTTGTATGTAATCACTGCTCTGAGAAACAAGCTAAGTTATTGGGGTGGCTATCCAAGCTGCCTATAGCCACTGTTCCAGTTAAGAGAAAAATTCTGTTCCTGTTCTTCTAATAGCAAGAATGATCAAAGCAATATGCAATTGTCTACCTATTTATAAAGTAGTGGTGTGAATATTGTAACAAAATACCTTCAGCATAGATTCCTAATAAGTATGCATGTCACTAACACTGAATTGTAAAGGAATTCCTATGTAATTGCATAGTCTGAGACCTGTGAGCAGTACAGGAATTCATCAGTTATTGCTATTGCAAAGCCAGGCTCTCATGCCATGTATTTATGACTTCTTAATTATTTTTTTCGTTTTGTGCAGAGAGAGTGTGAACTATTCCTTGCTCTTTGCAAAAAAAGCTCTCCATTTCAAGACATCCTTGTTAATCCCTGGAGATAATTTTGTTGTTCCGTAAAAGGTTTATAACCCAATACATTTCTCAGATTCAAAATACCTATTTTTAAAGATGTAGAGTCAATCAAAACTAATATTCTTCCCTTTCCTGGCTGCAGTGACAGCATTCTCTGAACACTGTCTCTACAACTGTTGTTCATCCAAATGAGCTATGAAAACCCATTACAGGTTTCTATTAATTGTCAGAGAACACCACGATTACAGATCTCTGGTGGCTCATAGGGATCTGTAGCTAAAACAAATAAGGTGCAATGTGGTATTCTTAAATTCTAGGTAGAATGGAAAAGGCAAAGAACAACTAGTCCTGGAGATACTTAAACATTTGCTATGTTTACAAACAGATTATTAGCTTATTGAACTCGGTGGGTATATTTGGTCTTGCAGTTATTCATATCTTAAAAACCTGTTGAAGAACAGCAGTTCCTTCAAATTCTGTTTAAAGGCTGGGTGTTTCCAAAGGGTTGAAAGAGTAACTAAATGAACATTTAAGATTTGGTCCTGAATTAGTTTCAAGAAGTTATTTTCCAGTTACAGTGAAGTTGCCAACACCTGAAGATACAGAAAATCAGCCTTCTGCATGCTTTGTACTTCACCTGGATATTCATGTGCATAAAGGGTTGGCAAGATTAGTAGTTAACCTGAATGTACTCTAAGCCTTCCTAAAGCCTTTAGGGCTTCTAACCCTCCTTCCCTCCCTAAAAAATCAAGCCCACAAAAACAACAACAACCCTGCAGCTGATTTTGTTTCTTGTAAATAAATTAATCATTTCCATGGCAGCAAGATATGCAGTAGGGCAGGATTAACACAGTCAGGGTGGCCACTGAAACATATTATACTAGACCCAGCTAAATCTTTCTATATTAATAAAGTAAAGCTTCCTGCGTCTGACCTGAGAAGAAAGAGACTCTTGGAAGCTGCTGCGCAGGCCTTTTCCTTTCTAGGCTAGGGCAGAAGCTTTTGGCACACAGAATAGCTGCCAGGCCAGCTAGTCAGGAAGAACAACTAAATGGAATGCTCCAAGGTATGCTGTTGTGTTACGGTGATGGTGTTCTCAAGCAGATGAGAGATTGTGCTGGCAGGGAGAAGTTTCCTTTAGAGGCAAATACAGCCAAACAGAAAATCGAGCATGCTCCAGATCTGCTGGCGACAGCGGCCTGGGGAAAAAGAGGTTGGAGGGGGTAAGTTCGTTTAACAACAGCTGATGGACTCTGGTGTGAGAACGTGCGTTGTAAAAGAGATTGTACATGGAAGAGGTCACTGAGAGAAGAAATCGGCTGTAAAGGATGGTACTGTCTTGGAAGTGAAGAGGATGTAAGGTTGAGGATGCTTTTCTAACAGTGCGTGTTTGACATTGGTTTATTTTATTTTTAACTTGGAGCAGTGCAGCAGAGTGGGTTAATTCCCAGCCCAAGGAACTTTTGCATTTAGTTAGAGAGAAAGAATAATTTTTTGTTGCAGTGAATTGATTTGTTCACAAATATTACAGGACAGTACAGAACCCTGCAAGTAGTGTGAGTGCAATAATTTATTTCCTTTATTTTCAAAGTATGACATAATGGAATGTTAGTGATATTTGCAGGTGGTAGGTGTTGTTTTGAGCTGCAGGGAGCTCATGGTAAACTTTATAGTAAGAGTCTTATTTCTGTCTTCTGTTAAGTAGATAAGGTCTAGTAGATACGACATTTGTAGCTGTAGGATTATTGTCAGCAACTTGCAATTAGTATTCTCAGTTCAATGTAACTAAAATAATTCCCTGCAAAAAATTGGTTATGTTTATTTCTCATATAAGAAATGAACATTAGTTCTTTTAGACTATATGGGTAAGCTTTCTTTAACAAAATGTTACCTTTTTTCCCTTCCTTTGGGGAATGTAGATCAGGCAAATTATTATTCTTTTTAAAGATCTGTTCTGTGGGATTTATTAGGCTTTCTGTTAGAAGTGCAGTCAGGGTTTTGGCCAATAGCTAGTGCAGGAAATCGGTAGTTATGATTCCAGATTGGCTTTTCATCATTGCATTTTATTTTATGCACTTTATATATCTCTCTAAAGACATTAATGGAAGTATTTTTGTGTCCTGTATTTGAGGGTAGATTAAAATATCCCTTCTAAGGACTCAGAGTCAGAGAGCAGTTCTGTTTTCTAGTGATACTCAGTGCTGGCAAAATGTATTTTTGTCCAGTCCAATTTTAGAAAATCATACCGAAAGCTGGAAATAATTGTTTTTTGGTTTCTTGAGCAAGAGTGTATTGATGTGCACCAGAGCAGGAGGAAGAAATTGGCATAGCCAGTCAACCTCGGCAGTCAGCAGATCTTATGTGCTGTGATGAGGAAAAATATTGATAGAGGAAGTATATGAACATGCATTGGGAGATACTTTTAACTTGGTTACTTCTTAGGATGTAAAGTGCCATGAAATAGCACCAGATTACTGCCAAGACTGCTTGAGACAAAGAAATTCAGTGAACTGTCTGCCGAAACTACTGTTCCTATTCCTCGTTTCCGTAACTTGCTATCCAGATAAAACACCCGTTGTCTGGGAAGTGGAGGAAGAACTTTGCTACTGGGTGAATTCCCATCGTGATCTCCTGCTGCAGGCAGGTGTGGCTTTCAGTACAGTTTTTCTCTCCCATTTTCTTTCTCTGCCATATGAACATTGCTAACTTAAAATTGCTTTTTACGGTAGGCAATGTCAGCTGGAGGCATTACCCCTTTCAGGGACATAGTAAAGGGAAACTGAATAAATGAAATGATGTGTGTGAATTTAGTGAATTCTCTTATATCCACAGTAACCATTAGAGGATGTAATTCTAAAAAAAGTTGGTGACAGGAAGTACCACATACTCCTTAAATGACGTGAGCTGGGATAAAGCCATAAAATACGATATGGCAGTAGGTGAAATACGTGTGTAAACAATGGAAATCAATTGCTGGATGCTGTGAATGACCTTGAAGTGTGATTATAGTAGCCAAAAGGACAGATAAAATTTTAAGGTTTTGTCCTTCCTGTTACGGACTAGCTCATCTGTCTTCAAAACTAGCGGAAAGTCTTGCCTCATCATACGAAACAGCAGGGTTTTCACACCCTTGTGCTCTGTCTGCAGCAGGGAATAGACCCTGTGAGCAGAGGGTTTGTTCGCAGATTGGAGCGCTGAATTCATACTCTAATCAGTGGAAGAAGGGCGCTCACATCTCTCTCACAGCCTTCGAAGTTATCTTGTTGCTTGACTTGTGTTCATACAGAAAAGCTCCCCCACTCTTTTGCCTCTTTTCTTTTTGCTGCCCTTCTCAAAGAGCAGGCAGGTTCTCTGTGATGTGAGCAACACTCCTTGCCTTTCTCCTAAACTGTTGTGCGCTGGATGGTTTGGGCTGAATCCTACTAATGAGATGTTTGGGGCGAGAAGAGGAGGAGAATGAAATTGGAGAGGAAATAGGAAGAGGGAGAATATTGGTAGTACAATATAAGAGGAGGTTTTTGTGTCAATCTTTGTCAGTACTTTCAAAAAGAGTCCAATTTTGGGAGCCCTGCATCTGAGAGACCTCTTTATTTTTCCTGTTTAAAATGTAAAGCCTCAGAAAACCAGGTGCTGTGAGCTGTTTCCACAGATCGAGAATTATCAAATTTTTGATCTCTTTTGAAAATACCACCTCTTGGCTCTTGAAATTAATTTGCCTTGCTGGGAGGGAAAAAAGGAGTGTGTGAGGTTAACATGCCTGAAATAGTTTTGTGAACTCAAAGAGAATGTCAGGAGATTCACACCCTCTGAGCAGTTCCATCATCTGTAATATTCAGCTCAGTATGCTTGACTAAAACACACCTACTTTATGCAAGATGGGTTTCCCAGGGTGGTGGGTTGTTGTAATCTCATGACAGCAAGCTGTCATGAGCTTGAAGTTGCTGGTGTCAAGTTTTGTGTGAGGTATTCTCGCGTTCCTGCATGTGGCTAGAAGTTTGAAGACAGGGACGTGGAGAATGGGGAAGAAGACTGGTACTGTTTTCTTTGCGACGGTGCCAGTTCAATTACCTGTGTTGTATAGGGTTGGGTTTTTTTAAATCTTGGTTAATGATGGAGCATTCCTTTTTCTTTTTTTGACATCCTTAACATAATAACATCATCAACCCCTACTTTATTTCATTGAATTCAAGCTCCAACATTAAGTTCCTTTAACAGGGTAGATAGCAGAAGAAAATAACAGCACCATGACAAGACTCACAAACATTAATAGTAAGAGATTCTTCAGGTTGTCTGTTGTTCTCTCAGAGTGGAGATTAAAATCATTGTTTGATGCACAGCTGTTCTTATAGTGTGCATTTTTCTTTGATGGTCAGAACCACCTTTAAAGTAGTGGAAGATGGCTACCTCTGACCTTTGGGTGGTTAAATCACGGTGATGTATGCCTATTGAGACGTGGGCTGCATTCAGTCTTGCTCCCAAAAGCAAGCAAGCCAGTAAATCGTGCTCTCTAATCCATCCTGTAGTTTAGCTGCTATCTTCTCTGCGCTCCTAGGCAGAGGCTAAGATATGGCACACCCTGGGACTGAGTAGCAGTTCAGCACCAAACAGAGCAATGCGTTGTAAGCTAGCTGATGGGGGCTATATGATTTACTCTCTCCTGCATTTGTAGGAATCAGCCTTTCTTTTTTTTTTTTTTTTTGGCAGGGTGCAGAGAAACACAAATGGCTGAGCCTTACACAGTTGACATTTGCTCTCAATTTCCCTCAGGTTGAGTAGCTCCACTGAGCAGAGTACTTCATCCCGGCTCATACGGAAGCATAAACGCAGGAGGAGGAAACAAAGGATGCGGCAGATTGACAGGGTAAGGTTGGCATCATAATTTTCCAAGGAGGTGAACCATGATTTTGAGTGTATCATGTGAATTAGGAAGGGATCCAGAACAGATCTTGTGCCCTGTTGAATTCATTGGAAAGGCTCCCTTTGGCTCCAGTCTACCCTGGACTAAATCTCTAACATTTGAAGTTCTGCAGCACTAGAGTCAAGACTCTTTTTCTCCTCTCCCTTTCTCCTTTTACTGTTAAGTGATCACATTTCTTGTTGTCTCTTTCAAGACCAGCCTCTGGCGGAGAACCTCCATTGCTCTCCTGGCTGATGTGGGCAAGGGGTGACTGTGCTGTTAGACATCTGATGTATAAATTGCTGAGACTTGCATTCTGCTGAAAGGAGAAATCTATGTTTATAGGAGATCGCACATCTTTTCTCTTGCCCTTTTCTGTGCTAGTCCTGTGGTAGCAGAATGAGGATCGTCTAAATGACATACTTCTTGAAGTAACTGTTTCATTCTCCTACAAATATCAGTCTTCCCAGATTAAAGAATGGGTATGCATACATTTTATCACAAGAACTGGAATAACGTTTTAAAAGTTACTTGATAAGCACATTTGTATTTCATTTTGGAGGGGGGGGAAGCGTCTGCCTTCTCACTTCCTGAAGGATCATCTCTTTAGGGAGGAGCCGTGAATGTAATAATTCACACTACACTGGGCACTTTAGTATTTAAATATCAGTTTGCCAGTCATGTGGTCAGGAAGCAGAAGTGATTGAATGTGAAGTTCAGTTGAGAAACCTCAATACAGGAACTTGCTCTGTGTTTTGTAAACAAATCTTTGGAGAAAGTGCAGATTGTGTTCAGATTTATTTTCCTTTCAGATTCTAAGTGAAGAACAATTTTGAGGAGACCACAGTGGTTTCTGGATGCCTTCCAAACGGAAGCCTGTTAATCAGTTCCTGATGAATTAATCCTCAATAGTTATTTTTATTGTCTTATTCTGAGCCATTTAAAACCTTGAGAATTCTCTGTTGTATTTTGCAGTCATCTTCGTTCAGCAGCATCACTGATTCTACCATGTCCCTAAATATCATCACTGTCACGCTCAACATGGGTAAGAGGATAAGCAATGTTTTTTGTGATAAATTTCAAGTGATAGAGTTGTATTTTGTCATGGTGTAGTAGCCTTTGGAGCAAGTAGAATGTTCCATGATTGGAAAGGATGCCAACCAAACTAAAGGGAATGGCCCATGAGAGCTGCTACTCTGTTGACTGTGCCTGGATTCCTAGTCCGGTACTGGATAGTTCTGAGCCGTTTGCACAAGCAGATCAGTATTCTTCCCAAGAAGCCCAGGAAAGGAGCTGGAACTCCAGGATATGGAGTTCTGCTCTTCTAGGAATGGTAAGGGGTCAGACATTGTTATGAGCAAGAATAGAAGGGCACTGGAGGTTTGCATTTCTGCTGCTTATGCGTTTCATTGTTTTGCCAGGTGCAAATGTGCAGGGCTGCCAATTCAGCACCTTTTGAGTAGCACCAAATTCTTTCTGCCACTGACATGTGGAAAAAACATGACCTAATGCTGATCGGGTGCCTAATTTCTAGGTGTAGATACGTTTTTTTTTCAATGTCATTTCTCTTGCTGATTTTTTGAATGTAACTTTGCAATGTTCTGTATGAAAAAATAATGTCTTAGCAGCATTTTCCTGCTGCCTTACCCTGAACATATTACCCTTACCAGGCAAACGTATGCCAATAGGGTAACCTGAGATAATTGTAAATCAAACATGGCCGAGCTGATGTGTTGAGAGAACTGATTTTCCAAGACTTAAATAGCCTGGTGTTAGCTCTTCACTATCATTCCAATCACTTTGTTTGCTTTTTTCCCCCCCCTACCCTCCACTTTCTATCTGTATAGAAAAGTATAACTTCCTGGGAATCAGCATTGTAGGACAGAGCAATGACCGGGGTGATGGTGGCATATACATTGGCTCTATTATGAAAGGAGGGGCTGTGGCAGCAGATGGCCGAATTGAACCAGGAGACATGCTTCTGCAGGTTGGTCCGTGTCCAAAAATACGTGCTGCTGGCTTGTACTTTGGTGGCTCAGCTCAGTCATCCCACCAGGTCCATGGACTTAGTAATCAGTTAACAGAATTCATGCTCGGAGAAACGTGTCACAGAGACTTACCACTTAAATCTGTAATTCTTTGCAAACTGCTGGATAGTTGATGTGCTCTGAGAAACAATATTTCTGCGGCTGCTCAAAGGAATGGAAACAGTTACAAGGCAAATAAATTTGGAAACAAATAATTAAAATGTGTTTAATGTCCCTGTTGCAAGCCTGACCTCTGCTTTTTGCAACGTTTCAGGTGAACGATGTCAATTTTGAGAACATGAGCAACGATGATGCAGTACGGGTTTTACGGGAAATAGTCTCCAAACCAGGGTGAGCATATTAAAAAATCTCTTGCTATTTATCCTCCATATCCAGTTACTGATATTGGGCAAACCTCAGAGAAATCAACATTTGGATCTCGATAAGCAGGCAGTGTGACTGCTGATCTCAACTCTGAACTTCTCAGTGTAAATGATGAAAAGGTGAGACTGGTTCCAAAATACCAGCCAAAGCCAACACAAACTAGGAGTTCCCCGGTTTCAGTAGCACTATTTGTTTACATGATGAGCATTTTAATATCTCAAGAGCTGATCATTCGACAGATTTCACCAATAATGCTCATGATCTGTGCAAACCCAGGAACATCCTGATACTGGTTCATACTGAAAGTACTTCAACAAGGATCTCAAAAGCCTTCTCAGAATATACTTGGCAACTGTTAGATAGGACTAAGTTTGTTTCAGAGAGTTCATTGGAGCAGTTACAACTTCTGCAGGGAAAGTTAAGAGTCATCCTCACTTGTTTTCTTTCTTCGTAGACCTATCAGCCTAACAGTAGCCAAATGCTGGGACCCTACTCCCAGGAGTTATTTCACCATCCCCAGGGGTGAGTACATACTTGTGCTCTTTGCTGGGTTCCTGTGGAGCCCTCAGGGTCTAGAATATTTTCAGCTATTTTGGCATCTAACAGATTTCTGTTCCCTACAAGTTTGATACTTTTAAGTTTGGTTGTATTGTTTGTTTGCTTTTTGTTTTGGGAGGCAGAGGTTTAAGGTAGTCTTTCTGAGACTCCAGTGCCCACTGAATTAATGGGATTTTTTCTTTTGATTCACATGGCTTTGGATCAAGCTCTTAACCTTTTGGTGGGTATATCCTCGTGATTTTAACCTTTCAACTGATAGAAAGTTTGGAGGATAACTCTACTTAAGTGTTAAAAATTCTCATTTTATCACATGTACACTTCTTAAGAGTTTAAACTGAGTATTTTTAAAATTTGAGGCAAACAAAATTTTTAATATACATAAAACCTCTTGAAAATGATGTAGTTTTAAAACTTCTGGCTTAATAAACCTTTCAGTAGCTATAAAAGATCTGTGCTCATGTGACAAACACAACTGCCTCCTACTGGTGAGTGCTCTGCTTATGATACTGCAATTGGCTTGTCACCAGTCCTTCTAGGATGAGGATAGCATTGTCCGTTGAGTTGAATGCAATAGACTTTAGCAGACTATGGGAGCTCACTCAGTGAAGTCCTTAGGAAAACCAGCATCATCAAAAGAAAAATCCCACAAATCAGATATTTCAAGTTTGCTACAGGGAGAGCTTGTATATCAGTTTGTCCTTTGTTCAGTGAAGATGCATCTGTTATTATTCAAGGCAAACAGCATGTATCTGTTGTAGGCTAAACTGGTTGCAATGATGTGTGGGATATTTTGAGGAAATACCTAACATAGACAGAGCTCTTTTACACCATTTCTGGTTTTAAGGCAAAGGAACAACAGCTACTATAATTCAGAAGAAAAGAAGTAATCCAGACTATGGGGAAAACTGAGTTTTATTCCCAGCTTTAAAAATTACTTGCTATGTGGCTGTTCTTAAGGTCTGAGTGTAATTTTCATTCTTCTCCGACACCAGTCTCTTCAAATGGTCTTTATATGTCTTGTCTATTTATTTTGCAAGACTATTCCAGTCCTAAAAAGTTTCATTATGGCTGCTGAAAACACCGAGAGGGGAATTCCATGATGCCTCAGCTCTGCAAATACAGAGCTCTAGAGTTACTGTTCTGATTCACCTTCAGCAGAAGATCCACCTTCTATCTGAGTGGTCATTTTGGATCCAAGACCCTTAGAAGTAGGGAGAGATCTTCCTGCCAGCTGGGGCAAAGCATTTGGTAGTATTTCGTGTCATAGCAAAATGAAAATCTCTGTCGCACTTTATAGAATAATAGTGAAATCTTATTACTGGACTGGTAGCTTCTTTCCCACAAGGGGAAATATTTCACTTCTACTGCAGTTACAGGAACAGGACTGTCATGGTTTTATCCTGTTAGGCTGGTGTTGCAATTGCTAGAGGAAACCAGCTACTGCTGGCAAGATGCTTTTTGTTCCCTTGCGCTGGGGCTCTCTCAGGTGTACTATCAGAATGGCAAGGACTTGTGCACCCCAAAAAATGCCTTCTTAGTGTTTGCTGCAAATCTGATTCTATCTATCTTTTTCTCCCTTTCCTGGTTGTTTTGCAGCTGAACCAGTGAGGCCAATTGACCCTGCAGCGTGGATCTCTCATACCACAGCCATGACGGGAGCGTACCCCCGTTACGGTATGAGCCCCTCCATGAGCATCACCACATCTACCAGCTCCTCACTAACAAGCTCAATTCCCGATTCGGAAAGTAAGTCACACTGCGGCCAGCACAGGGCAGGCGTCTTCTGCTCGGGGCCAGCAGTGCAGAGCTGTGCGCAAAACCGACCCCAGCCACAAGCACGATGAAAACGACAGCCACCGCAAAACTCTTGAATGCTTTTTTTAAATTTGTAATTCTTACGGGGAGCATAAAACCCTTTTTCCAAAGGTCAGAAGTTAATGCAGTGGTGTTTTGCCAGGGTTCACATTCAGGAAGAGGTGGCTTCTGGTCCCTTTTAAAGTCACAAGGCTGGCCTCCAACTTTATCCCCTCAGATGAATGTGAGAGCTTCCTCCTTGCATTTGACTTTTAAAACAAATTTAAATAATTTACTTCAGATAGATGTCACTGGATAATAATGTTACTGTATCAATTAGGAAATCTTCCACTGATATTTTCATAGCCTTCTTTTATACTTTCTTATACTTTTAGAATTTATTGAATAAGGAAAAATCAAACGTAGTGTCCCATGTGGAATTGTGGTTAGAGTTCAGCCTTTTTTCCTGTTAATCTGTCTGTGGCAGTCTCTAAACTAGTCATATCTGTGTAACCAACAAGTTATCACGATTCCTTATCTTGGAAATTTTTGTTTAAAGAATATAAACTCTTCCATTCTTTCACTCTTCCTTTGCTTTCTGATCTAAGCGTAGGATAAAAGCTAGCATTTGGTTTGAAATACACGGCAGTAAGGCAAGACAAATACTCGAGGAGCATGTGTCTCTGAGCACACTGTCCACTGAAGTCCTAGTTTGTCCTTTTTGGAGGTATAGTAGCTTGGTGCCTCTTTAGATAGTAGGCAGCACCACTGGAGGGGAAAAACAAGTGAACCACTTACCTGATGGCTGCTTTATCTCGAGATGTGTTTTCAGCATTACAGGTGCTAAAGGTTGCTGGAATCAAATGTATCTGCTGATCGCTGTCAAACAACAAGAGTCTGTTACTCTGCATTCCTCTTGAACCATTCATGTATTGTGTGCCTTGATATATAGTGATGTGATTGGGAAGTGTGGAACACAGACACCCTCTCAATCATACTTTTAAAATAAAGGTTATTTGGGAGCAGAACCACATTTCTGGAGACAGCTTCTCATTTCTATGCCAATGATTTGAAATGTTTCCTTTCCTGAATGCAAGAAAACGTGGAGTACCCCTGACCTTTATGGTGACCTTCTGCTTAACGCTCCTTCCTTCAGGTCAGTCCTGTTACCCCCCGCCCCGAACGCAGCAGGCATGTGAACCTCTTTGGCAGGAAAGAGAAAGTTGGGGAGGGATGGAGGAGGAGAGAGAGGGGCGAGGAGAGACTGCACACTGATGTCTCAAAGAACAAAGAGCTTCATGCAAAATGGGGCTTTCTAATTTGTCATGTTCCCGTGCAAGAGTCTCTGTTTCAGTTCCTCTGAGGCTAGAGTCACTGGTATTTGAAGGTATCTGGCCGTGAAAGTGAAAGCAGTGAATTAACAGAGTCATCTTAGACAAGTCTGTTTCATGGTTCCTTGTTTTAAGTATTGCGAATCTGCTGGTTTACTCTGTTTGTATAGCAAGGCCAGGATAATGTAAATGGACTGAATGACTGCTTTCCTTCTGACTCGCATTCCTTTGCTCTCTAGCCTCTGGCTCAAAGGTGAAGTTCTGATATCTGAAGCATTTGCACAGCCACCATCACACTGGTGCTAGTGACTAAACTAGCTGAGATTTTGGAACCATACAAATCACTGCCACACAGTAGGAATTATTCTGTGTTAGCTCTTTTATTTTCTCAGATGCATTTCTTCAAAAACAGGACTATGCAAGCCAAGGCAGACTGAGGTGTTTCATAGTAATTATTGCTTTAAAAAGTCTCTTGTTCTCCAGCAGTGTTCTGGCTGATGCAGGTGAATATTCTCTCTCAGTGGTTTGTGAGTGTTGGACTCGCTGCCTCAGTCAGTGCAAACCCTGCTCCTCGTTTACTCTGCTAAAGGTAGATCTTCCCAGCCCCTGTTCTGCCACTACAGGACCCCTTTCTGCCACGTAGTGCTGTCCCATTCCATGAGATTAACTTCAAGTGTTTCCATGTTTCTGGAAAGTCTTGCTGTTTCACAATGCAGTCCGCTGACGTTGTTGGAAAGTTCTCTTTTTCTCTTGCATGGACTTCAGAGGATTTTGAATTGCGACTTCAGATTTTTTTCTGCATAATAGTATTCAGCCTGAGGTCCTGTGTAATTTTCTGGGGCCTTTTTGTTTGGGCAAATGTGTACCTCCTTACTCAAATAAGGATACAAGCTAGTGATGGTATTACAAGTGGTAGGACTTCGTTTTCCTGGAGCGTACACCTCTTTTATTACCAGGATCTGCTGATGGGAGGAAAATGCCACTCAAAACCAATCACCGAAGCCCTGAGGAAGAGCTTTGCGGTAGATCTGGTTCCCCAGAAAGGAGTCGCTGTCTGTGCTGTTCCTCAGATTTGTACATACCCGTACGGGTGGTCAGGTAGTCAGGCCCACAGTTGACTGAGTTCAGACCAAAGTAGGTGCATTTTAGATGCATCTTTTTCATATTTGTACAGCAACTAGCAGACTTAGAAAATACTGACGATCATTTGGCCGGTGGTGTTCTTCATATGCCGATTGCAGGTCTCTGAGAAAATACAATTTATTGCTCCCCACATACTTTACTTGAATATTGGTTTGTGTTTTTTTTTTTCCTCCCCAAACAAACATGTTGCTTTTTGCCACTAACCAAACTAACTTAAAGCAATAGCAAAATTTGAGTGTTTATTCAAACTTTATAAGTATTGAAACCGCATGCATAGATGGTCTGGGATATTCTCATGCATATTAGCAGTGCATGTATTGAAAGAAGCATTTTCAATTTTCATTGTTTCATGCTTGTTGTACCTTTTATCAAAATTTTGGTTTGCTGGAAAAGGGCAAAATGGGTTCCCTCGTGCTTTTGAAAGGTGGGTGATATGGGGAGCTGGGAGAAGGGAGGGGAGGAGGGTTTCTGAATTCTTGCTGGAAGAGAGTCTGAACTACAAACACGGGGGACACGTGCTCGACATGAATTTTCTAGGGCTGAGAGGATGTGAGCAGGAAGGAGGACTGGGTGCTGTATCAAAAGAATAGTTTTATTATGTATAGACAGGATGACTGACTTCTGCACAGCTTTCTCAAGAAGGGTGATAGGCTCTTGGACCCAGATTCACCCCACTGGGCTTTCAATGTTAGATGCCACTTTGCCTCTATGTATGGTAGAGGTGTCCCTGCTCCTGCAGGGGGGTTGGGCTGGGTGACCTCTAGGGGTCCCTTCCAACCCAAAACATTCTATGATTCTATGATTCTGTGGATCTCAGCCCTGTTGTTCTGATTTTATTATAAAAATTGATCAGGAAAGTGTGAAGCCTCTGGTGAGCCAGCTCTGCCCGGGAGAGTGTGTGAAAGATGACTGGGGCAGTGACGGCTGCTGAGGCATTTGGGAGCAGTGGGTTTTTAAGTGTTCTGCAAGAAAGAGGCAGGGCAAAGTAGTGCTGAGTTAAGTGACTTGTTAACTTGTAAGGCTGCTGTCACTGGGATCCTGGAAAGTTTGTTTTGCAGGAAACCACTAGCCTTTACCCTGATGATGGAAACTTTCTTTTCTAATGCCAATTCTCCCCAATTATGCTGATTTCCAGATCTTAAAAAAGCAAATGGAGATTGGTTGAGAAATGGTCATCATCTCTCTCCGTGCAAATGGATATTATTCATGACAATTAAATCAGAAGTTAAAGAACAAGCCAAAAAACCTTGTCCCTATGGAGTTTTGCATACAGTGCACTGAACTGTTGGGTGGGTAGGGGCTGTTCATGGCAAACTGAAATGGAAAGCAGTGGTCATAGACCTTGGGTTTCCTTTTCTGCAAATCTCAATGCAGCGCGGATTGAAAGAGTGCCGTGCTGATCTATAGCTGGTGGGTGAAGTCAAGACATGCAGGGACTCAGCATCTCAGTGACTAAACTGGTTGCACCGAGCACAATCTCTGAACAATTGGTACAAATGCTGTAATTTATGCCACTGACGAGGGTGCATTTGGGAACCTTTGTGGCTTTTTTTGCATCTGTTGGTAAAGCTCTCTGTCTTGAAAAGTTTCATCCAGATTTGGGAACTGAGAAGTTCTTTTCAGACTCTTATTCATTTCAAAGAAGCATGTAACCTTTCTTTCTTTTAGAATTAGAAGAATCTCCCTTAACTGTGAAGAGTGACATGGCTACTATTGTCAAGGTTATGCAGCTACCAGACTCAGGCCTTGAAATCCGGGACAGGATGTGGTTAAAAATTACCATCTCCAATGCAGTGATAGGTAAGCAGATCAAAGGAATGCTGGCAGGAAAAAAAAAAAAAAATAGTGGCTTTTTGGAAATAGGCTGAAGAAATTATCTTTATACGAACTTTTTTTTTCCCTGTCTATGACCTCTTCTATTTCCTTGACTTGGCATTTGCCAACAACTCCTAAATGTGACAGGAAATAAGTAATAGCTCTTGTTGAGCCTGGACAGCCAAAAATACTGCACCTTTCTCGTGCCCACACACAGCTGGTCCTTAACCCTTACTTGGTGTATCTTGGGTTTTTCGCGTAACTACTTGTGGCTCTGGCAATCTGCCCAAGGTCAGCAGAGCGGAACGATCCTAGTAATTCCAGTTTCAGATGGGCACACAACCTCAACAAAGCATCTTAATTGCATTTAAAATTACCACAACTAGTCTACCTTTGATTCTGACTGTCCTGTAACCTGAACTGTGCTAACATTTAATCAATCTTGGTTGTAGTTACTTTTTGCTGAGAAGGGGATTGGAACACAGGTCTTTTGACAGTGTAACATCTCTGTGTGAGGAAGATTACTCTCCCAATCACTTCTGTTCTATATATCCTATATAATTTTCATGACTGCAACTCAGAAGGGGTTGAATTGTGTAACAATAAAATTTTCTGTGTGCGTATTTGGTAGTGTTCAACTGGATGCAAGTAATTCTTTGCTTTCTTTATTGATGTTTGACGGTAACTAATTTAGCAGTTAGGCTGAGTTGTGAAAACAACGTTTTAAGCTCTTTGCAACAAGATTGTTGCATATTCATATTTGCATTCAGTACCTGGCACAGTAGTACTAGTGGGCTATCTGATAATGTGAAGATTAAAAAAACAAAAACAAAAAAGATCAGTTTGGCTTGGATGATCCTGTGTCTCCTCTTCCTATTCTCATTTTAGGAGCAGATGTGGTTGACTGGCTTTACACGCACGTGGAAGGCTTCAAAGACCGACGGGAGGCTAGAAAATACGCCAGCAGCATGTTAAAACATGGCTACCTCAGGCACACTGTGAACAAAATCACCTTCTCAGAACAGTGCTATTATGTCTTTGGAGACCTCTGTGGCAGTAAGTTCCCCATCTGTGAAGGGCAAAGCTGTGTGTGTTGTCTCTTCTGTGCTCACAGGGTGCACGGAAGAGAGTCCTGTAGGATTTCACAAGTGGGCATTTCAGAACAGGCCATTATTCTGAAGGTGCATGATGAGTGTTTGACATCTCCTGTTAGAGTAAGCAATTAGACCACTTGGAAAAGAAGGATGAATTAATCAAACAGGGCATTGCACTGAGGCTCAAGAAAGCAGGATTTATTTCTGGTGATGCCACAGACTTCCAGCTTGTCAGTCACACTCAAGTTTCCAACCTGTAAAATGGGGATGATTCCTCCTTGACTTATGGAAATGCTGCAAAGGTACCTTGGTGCTCAGTAGTAAATACTTATGTCTGCTCTACCTCCTGTTATGCTTTGAGTGAGGCTGAGTCCCTCTAGTCCCTCACCACGCTACGTGCTGTGTCACCCGTTCTTAATATACAGGAGTCAGCTGCTAGGTAAGAACTGAGTCTTCACCTTTTCTCTCTTTTCCAGATATGGCTGCACTGAACCTTAACAATGGTTCTAGCGGAGCCTCGGATCAGGATACCCTTGCTCCACTTCCACATCCTGCTGCTCCCTGGCCGTTAGGCCAAGGATACCCATATCAGTATCCTCTGCCCCCTCCATGTTTTCCACCAGCATACCAAGACCCAGGCTTTAGCTATGGTAGTGGCAGTGCAGGGAGCCAGCAAAGTGAAGGTAAGATGATTAATCTGGTCTTTATTTCTATAGCTGTCATTATCCCTGACCATTTGCTTGAGTTCCTTCGTACTGTTTGTGCTCCTGTCTTGTGGTTTTGTATGCTACCTGCATGGATCTGGTGTGACCGCACTTAATCAAAACTGTTTGTGTATGTGATGGAGTGGGTTAGCCTTTCAGCTCTGTATTGAAACTACTGAGTCAGTGGAATGGAATACATGCTGCTTATAGTTATGCTGTAGTCCTGTACCCCATGCAAAATGCTGGTGGGGAACTAGAACTAAGCTATTTGTGATATCCATGGTGGCATGGGCATCTGTACTCTTCTTACCCAACAGCACCACACAGTAAACTATAAACTACTGCTTAGATAATGCTGATCAGGCCAACATTAATGACTCAATTGTCCCCCCTGTTAAAATAGATCAAGTATCGCCCTCCTTTTTAGAAGTCAGAGCCATTGCCAACAGTGGGGCTGCAGTCGCTTGATATTGCTAGAAATTAGGTCACTTCATTGCTGATGGAACAGGGATTAGAACCAAGGTTCTCTTGGCTTTCACTTCGATGGTCAGTACAAAAGGAAAATCACTCTCTGTGCTTGTGTGAGACAAGCATGAGGTGGCCAGCCAGATGGTTTACAGGGCTGAAACACTGCTCACAGGGAGGAGAGTCTCTTTTGTAATATATGACAGGGGAAAAAAGATAATACTGCATGGATTAAAAACCTGACCTCCTCCTTTCCTGCCCCAGCATAACTTTGTGGTTCATTTTTAAACCTTAGTAAATAAAAATTACACATTTTTTGGCTGCACAGATAAGGGCCTTCTGCCTTTTTGTTTTTTTTTTTTTTGTTTTTTTTTTTTAATCACTTCCAGGGTGAGTTTTGCTTTTGGAAATGCCAGTAAAGAAAGGTTGAGGATTCTCTGTGGTTTTGTGGTGAACATCCAGTAACTTGGATGTAACTTCTTCCTGTTTACTGCAGCCAGTTAGATTTTGCAAAATTGTGCAGAAGAATTTCATAACAGGAACCTGCTCACAAGATTTTAGCACTGTGCTTCCCACCTTATCTCAAAATAAGTGTCTATGAGGAAGCTCACAGTGGTATACAGAGGTTTTAGAACTGCAAGCTTATTGTGCTGGAAAGAATGTGATTATTTTTTTTGGCAGCTGGTTCTGCGGGCAGTAGAATATTAGATCTCTGCTGCCGGAATAGGGAAGGTATGGTATTTTATCCGTGCAACCTGCGTTACTGGCTAAAGAGAGCCTTATGAAAGGCACCACGGTGTTTTAATTTTGAAGGATTTCAACTCTTTCCTTGTTCTTTTGGAAACTACACTTTTGTGTTGTTTCTTGTTTTGTAACTGTTATTCCCTTGTTTTGTTCTGAGCAAGCATTAGACTGAAGGATTCATAGAGGAATGGCTGACTCTAGGGGATTGGTAAGCTTCAAATGACTCCATAATAACAATGAATTCACAGCATGATCATTTAGACTCTTGTGACCCAAATGTTTAGCTGTATTTTTTCTTTTTCTTTTTTTTTTTTAATTTTTTCTTTTTAATTGTCTTGGACGCTCAACCTGTCTCGATGCACAGTAGTCCAGTAGTGTGGCATTAGCATATCAACCTGTCTGGCCCCTGTGTGAGTGACTGTGCTGCAGCAGCTACAGAGTGAATGGCATCAGACACCCCACTGTCAGCTCAGATGGGAAATGCTATCACCAGTCTCTTCACTGCTCGTCATTAAATAAATAAATACATAAATAATCCCAGCTCCTAATTTATTAGTCGGATGTCATCCATCCGGATTGGATTTATCTACCGGTGCCCTTCAACTGCTTATTTACTGAAAGACACTTGGGCACTGTCCAGATGTCTCAGGCAGGTATTAAGGGTGCTGGGACACAAGGTTGCATTGATCGCTCTCTCTATAGAGTGTTAGAATTGGGTTACCTGGGAAGTCTCTCTACTATGTGCCATGTTAGATCATAACTGAATTCATCTGGTGAAGAAGAGCGCTGCTCCAGAGCCCAGTGAATGTCACATGTTTTTGAGATGGATGCAGTGTATTTGCTGAGGCTTACAGACAGAAGCCTAAGATTTGGGTCAAGAGACAGACTGAGACGTGTTCTGGCAAGCAACAGATAGGGAGGAGAAGATCTAACAAAGTTTTATATGACATTACAGTTCTGCTCAAGGCTCTGTTCCAACTTAGGTTGCTGCTTATTTCATCCGAGCCACATCATCTGTTCCTGCTTGTGGTACCGAGGGCTTAGGTTATTTTTAAAGGCTTGGGCAGGTTTGCTGGAGGGAGTGGCACCGGTGTGAGGACCAGCTCCTCTGTGAAACGGCATCTCTGCTATGATAGTGTTTAGATCAAAGTCACGTTCCTGTTCTGGTAGATGCTCACTGTACAGATGGATAGTGAGAGATGATCAGGTTACAGTCTGAAGAGATGAAAGAAGTAGGAAGGATGGATTTGTTCAAGCTCACAGGTTGTCAGTTGTTGGGACTTCAGACTTCAAAGGGTCTTCAGAGCCTCTACACACTGTCTCTGGAGGCCCTCCTGCCCCTGTCCAGAAGGATTCATGTGGAAACTTTTCTTCCCATGAAATGAAGTATTGAGGCAGCTGGAGTCTCTGTGGCTTTAGGGGGTGGAAGTTTGGTGTCCAGCAGTAACAGACAGTAAAGGCTGATAACATGTTGTGGCAATGCTGACTGCAGCTTTTCTAGGCACTTGAAATGCAGATTCTTTAAATCCATTTTATGACACTTAGGTTTAAATTTGGCCTTAGATGGAAACAAATACTGCTGTGGCATTTCAAGCCTGAGCTTTCGGTTGGGCTGCATGTCTCCAAGACGGGCCAGTCCTGTCAAGAAGGTGACACTCCTGTTAGATTGCATTTGAACACAAGGCTTACAAGGACCTTCTGATTGTTTGTTCTGTGACAGGATTTAAAGGCATGCCAGGCAGAGAGTGAACCTCAGCGTGACCAGAGGAGAACAACTATGCTGCTGAGTATTCTTAGATAGACTGCTGTAATGGTGGATGGTTTCTGTATTTTCTTTCTGACATGTAATCAGCTTGGAGTGCAGCTGCAGAAAGCCAGGTTCTTCTGAGATAAGAAGTCTGCATTAACCGCTTGACCTCTTGGAGTCTTGGCAGATCAGCTAGAGCTGCTGTTCCAGATATACCAGAGTCTGGAGTAGCAATGTGATGGATTGCCACAGGGCAGTCTCGGTCCTACTGACCGTGGAAGACCTCTCGAGCAGTAATACACGCTTTCAGTGCGACTTGCTTTCTCCCCTGCATGATCTTTACTCAGCTACAAGCTATGGAACTGGCATCGAAATCTTGCGTATGGGGAGCTTGCATCAAGTAGTGACTTTGGATAAGGTTTGCAGGGTTTGGATGGGTGGCAACAGAATGCATCATGAGATGAAGGCAGAGGGATATTGGTGGAAGGGTTAAAATAAAGTGTCGATTTCCTTCCACTGTGAACAATGTGCTGCACTGGAGAGCTTACAAAAATGCTTCTTGGAGATGATCTCTAAGTTGTTCTTTGGAGCAATGGCTGTAACAGTCAACCTGCTACCAAATAGTTTTTCCTCCCTTATTTGTCTTTGCAAGATTGTTATGAAACATTTGAAATGACAGCTCAGGGAGCACCTTACCTCTTCAGAAGGCTCACCTTAATGAATCTGTGTAGTATTTGGTGGAGGCAGCTGAACCCATGTGAGTATCTCCATTTACCCAGATGGAAGAAAACTGAGGCACAAAGCAGGACAGTGTTTTTTCCCAGAGCAAAAAGCTGATAAGGGATTACAATTAGCAGATACCATTTCAGAGTCCCAGGCTCAGAATATTAACCTCAAGTCCAGTGATTTTCTATTCTGCGTTTTTCATCTATCCCCAGCTTTTCTTGTACTCCTCAGGGGAACCTAGCCTTTCGACTATACACACCAAGTCAGTCTAGTTTCCCCATCTCTTCTTGTTTTCCTGCTCTAAACATCAGCTGGAGCAGGTCGTGATCATCTGTAGTTCAAGAAAGGAGCAGCTCAGAATCATTCTGGTTATCCCATTTCAGTGACCCCTAGTGACTCAGTGGCTCATTCAGACTCAAAAGCCAGTCCCCTATTCTGCTGACTGGGGATCCTTTTTGGGAAGATGATGTTGCACTAAGATGGTATGAACTTAGTGAGATATTCTGTGGGTTGGTGTGTTGGGTTTTTTTAAGGAATAATTAGCTTGGAAGTGTCTCCTGACATCATCCTAGCCTGTCTCTCATGGAAACAGAGCATGGCCTTCAACTTTCATGTAAAATCAGTTCTGAAGTTAAGTGAAGCTTGTGCGTAGCAGCAACTCAGCTTACACGCCAGCAGCAGCCCTTTGTTTTTCCAAGCTGATTTGGTGGTCTCTGCTGGGAACATCCTGCATGTTACTGATTCATCATAGAGCAGTTCAACAAATAACTGTTTTTTGAAGCATTCTCCAACAACAGAACACTGTAGTGATGAATTTTAAAGGAATTACCCACTGAAGCCAGCAAAAGGACATCTGTTAACCTCAGGTGATTTGGCCCTGGGTGCGAGTATGGCCAGTGTGACCAAGGATGACAGAGAAGGCAAATAAGTTTCTTTTTGAAAAGCTTTGCTGATAGAAGATAGCAAAGACAGGCGCAGTTACAATTAGACTGAACTTGAGTCAAAACCCAAACACCGCTTCTTCCTTCCTTTTTTGCTCCTCTCTCCAGTCAGTGGGGCGGCAGCGGGAGCAGATGGCTTTCAGCCAGTAGTTCCAGGCTAGCTGCTGCTTTCACTGTGCGAGCTCTAAGGTGTCTGCGTGTACCTGTGCATGGCACAACCTTGTCAGCTTTGTTCTACCGATTGTCACTGCTAAATCCCATAAGCCACCAGCAGCACGTTCAGGCCTGGTTTTGTCATCATTGTTGCCATTACAACGGTCATTCCTGGATCTGTGGGTTTCGGTAGCAGCCACGGACCTGAGCTAATTCTGCTTTTCTGTGTGTCCTTTTCACTCATGGGCTTCAGGAAGCAAAAGCAGCGGCTCGAACCGAAGCAACAGCGAGAACAGCAGGAGAGCTCTGGGCAGAGAGAAGGACCGCAAGTCGGCTGGCAGCGGCAGCGAGTCTGACCACACTGCCCGCAGCGGGGGCAGCGCCAGCGTCGTGCGCCGGGAGAGGCCTGTCAGCCAGCTCAGCCACCGGAGTCATGTCTCTGCCACGCACAGCGAGAGAAGCCACCACAGCCATCATTCGTATGGGCCTCCAGGAGTCCCACCCCTCTACAATCTCCCCAAACTGGGCTCCAAAGTCTACGGGACAAGCGGACCCCCTGGAGGGCCCCCCGTGAGGGAACTGAGCTCTGTTCCTCCGGAGCTGACGGGGAGCCGGCAGTCCTTCCAGAAGGCTATGGGCAACCCTTGTATTGTCGAACACTTAATGGAAGAAGCTTGGCTGTCTTGCATGTCACACCTTCCTGGTTTGCAATTGTGTTGCAGAAAAATCAACAAAACAAAAAATACACCACCCCCCACCCCCGAAAAACGAACAAAAAAAATCTCCCGGGATTGTTAAATATCAGCAAATGGATGGCATCTTTTCTTTATCCTTCTCCCCCACCCCCCTCTGGTTTTTGATTGTGAATGGCTGGTGTATATTCACATCTTAATGAGCTTTGGTAATTGTGGCACCTACTTCAATGCAATTAGTGTATCTTTTGGGCTGATTCAAGGACTCTTATTTCCCATGACTTCTAAATTTCCAATAATGCATAGTAGCACTTTTATTTTTCCCTGCTTTCTCTCTTACAAGGAAAAAATGACCGTCGGCTGGTATCTGTGATACTGCCTTGTAACGCTGTCCCTTGGATGCGTCAGTCAGCACTCCAAGCAGACACGGCACCCCCAAGTGTACGGGCAACACGTGCTTGGAAAGGAGCAGGCTCAAACCAATTCCTAGCAGAAGGCAAAGTTGTAGCTACCTTCTTCTGCTGACTAGGGAGTATAAATCTGTCTTTCTTTTTTCTTTTTTTTTTTTTTTTTTAGATATTATTCTATCAAGGGAGCGTTGGAGTCTTGCTACTGTATGTGTCATTGTGCAGAACTTGTAAAGTTATTTCATTTAGTATCATGATAGTGACTTTGTAGCTGCAGTCCATTCCTGGGCATTTCAGTCACATCCCTACTGACAGATGTGTCTTTGTTCTGGTTATAATGCGCACTTGCTTACAGGTTTTAAAAGTTGTTTCCACAGAAATAGGACAATTGCTGCTATGCGATTCTGTTAGTGTAGCTGCAGCTTTTCCCTTCTGAAGGGGGTATTTATCCCATTCTAGCAGAGACTTTGGTAAATCCTGGCTCCCACTGGGACATGGCTATTCATTTTGATCACCTCTTTTTCCGTTCTTAATTTCTGAGCAGTGTCTTTCTCTTTTTCTTTTCTTTTTTTTTTTTTTTTTTGAAATAGAAACCTGGAGATGTCTAATCCCAACTGCAGTGTTACCCAAGGGAACATGTTCTGAACACAGATGGGGGCTAGCTGTTAGCAGAGAGGTGAGAGGGTGTTTTGAGAACAGTTCATAAATGGTACAATGAATGAATCTTTATACCTGACACAGAGCGAGACCCATGCTAAAGCTCCTGCTGGGGAGCTTTGAGTTAAGCAACTGCTGTTGTATATCCCCAAGATTTCCTTACTATGTATTTTTCGCTCTAAGGCTATGGACGCTTGATAAAATATGTTCAGGAACCTTCACTGATGTTTAAGAAGCTTTTTAAAGTATCTGAATGAGGGCATGGTAGGAGCACACCCACGCCCTGTTACGGTGGCTCATTTAATGGGAAATATGTGTTAAGCTGCAGTCACTTAGTGGCATTTGACCATGGGGCCATGCCTCAGTTAAATCCTCTTTTGTGAGATACCTGCTTCTGGCAGGTTTTAGGACAGGTGCTTTAAAATCAGTCTTTACTGTATATAAGTATTTTCTTCACTGGTAAGAAGCTTCTTTTTGTTATGTTCCATGCTTTATGGGTAGTGTGAATATCCGATATGAATGTCAAAAGAGAACAACATGTCTTTCTCACGATATACTTGTAGTTTCATGTTCTTTTGTCACCCTGAAAAATTACTCTTCAAACTGTCCATTTTGTATGTTGTTCATTCTGATAGATTTTTCACTACTTCTTTTCTTATTACAGGTCTGTGTGTAAACACATCCCTTTTACAAAAGTCAGAGTAACGTTTTCAAATGTCTGTGTTAACTGGAGATGTCAGTCTCACTTTTAGAAGGGAGCTAGGCATTTAGGAAACTGTGTGTCACTTGGACTGGGTACTCCAGTTACTGGGCTTCTAAACCAGCTGGGTGTTTTTGGACAGTTTTCTTTACTAAAATCTCCCGAAAAGCTGCATAACGTTTCTGGAAGCGGGGCTTTCATCATAATCCATCTGATGGGCTAGCATAGATTGCAAAGTTGGTGATGGCTTGTTCAAAAGAACGGCACTACCTAAAGCTTGACTGTGCAACAGGATCCTTTCTTTTCCTTTCCTCCTCCCAGTAACACAGCAAAGATGCTAACTAAACTTGGTAAACTATTTGGAAAGATTGACATTTAAAGCAATGAAATAAACCAGGGTAAAATAATTCTGTAATTCTGCTATGTCTCCAAGAGACACTCTTAAGGAGTCTGTGACTTTACTGACAATCACTAGTGGTTCGACTTTTAAATTAATTTTAACTTCTCTGGTCTCATACGATTTTTCTGGCCCACTTTGTCTTAAGGCAGAACTTACAGGGCTGGAGGAAAAGACTGTCATTTTAATAAGATGTTTCCAAAAGGGATTAAAGCTGGGGGCTGAGCTTTCACCCATGGAAGACACGTATTTAATTTCCTTATGTCTTTTCAAGAGTTGCAGTTTACACACCTGCTGGGGTTTTTTTTTTGTCTTGTTGTTATGCTGTTGGCAGAAACTGTTCTGTGTCTTGCTGGTCTTTGCTGCTATGTTGAAACGCCTGTGTTATATACTTGCGTGTTCGTGGGTAACTCTGGAATGAGGCTGGTAGCCCATAACATAGGTGTGGGAAAGCGTTCGCCTGCTGAGGAAATCAGGCTGCTAAATCCAGCCTGACCTAGCTTCACCCACAAACAGGCATCCACTTCAGGCCAATAACGCGTGCTCTGAATGTACTGACGGATGTGCTAGTTGGTTAATACTGTATAGCATGTAGAACCTGCTATTTACCAAGAGCAGTAGGAGAATGTAAATGACCCTTCTGTGAACGGTGCAATACATAATGGCCACTGTGTGTAAAACAAAAGCTTGATTTCCCCGCCTTGTAGTGTACAGTGGAGAGGCTGGTTTGTGTGAATGGAAAGTTAGGCCTGAAACATTGCTAGCTCTTAATTTTCAGAAGTGAATGAAGACAGGAGATCTCCCAAATCCCATCCTTGGCTTGCAATGCGTGTGCATGTGTCTTTGCAACAAGGGGGCCTTGGGGCCTAACTGTGCAAGTTTCTCCTGTTGAGTACAGTACTATCTGCAGAAAGAAGTGCCACTGATGCCAATGAAGCTACTTACGATAGGCAGTACTGTGCCAGGTGGAAGAAAGTTTGAAGGCTGGAGTCCTGCAGCACCGTCTGTTTCTCTCACCAGGGCCTGAAATTTTTCTCTGATTTTAATGTCAAGTAACTGGCACAGACTGGGCTCTAGAATGTATGACCTATGCCTCTAACTACAACGGGAATTATAGGTTTGCTATATAGGGCATTGAACCAACCTCGTGACAGGAGCCTTAAATAATTGACATTTTTATTCTGGAAGTGAGACCCTCGACATCTGCCTGTGCTCTGCAGCTGAGCTTAATGTTCATGCATACCTGCCAAGAGCTTTTGACAAGGACTAACAGGTATGTTTGGAAGGTCATAGAAAATGGTGAGAAAACAGGTTGGGATGACGTCTCCTATCAAAGGAGGTAGTATCTGTAGGGGTAGTGTACCCGCCCAGTATATTAACTCCGAGGAGTAAGTTTTTTGGCAAATAGTCTTAAAAGCACTGCTACTGTCTTTTACCTCCTGTTAATAAATCTACTTTTCAAAGGTAACAGTCCCCTGGACACTTTATCCAAAGGTATATTGGATGGCAAGCAATGATGCACAGACATTGACTTTTGGTATTATTTTTTGTCCTATTCAACTGGGCAGTCCCATCTTGAGACTTGAGAGCTCATGAGTTGATGTAATTGTTTTTGTTTTGCATTTAACTGGATTGTAATAAGATTGACTTAAAATTATTAATTCTAATCAGTGATTAGAAATACATGTAAAGAATTTTATGTACAGTAGAGGAACAAAGTTACATGATTTTAAATAATGAAAACCCAGACTATCACCTATTCTAGAATTGGTTCTACTCAAAGAGTGACCTCTTACTAGCATGGACTGCACTGTTCCTGTTAAATGTCTATTGCATAATTGAATTCTTTTTTGTAGATATTGTATTAAAACCCAAGTGTCTGTATAGTTAATATATAGCTGCTTATGTGTAAATGCTATTTTAAACACTAAAAAGCTTTTAATTTTATGTGATAACCGCAGTGTATGTCTTCAGTTCTTTGCACTACTGCATTATCTTTTTATTCAAGAATGATGAAATATTGGTTGAATCTTGCACATTTTTTTGCCCCTGCCACACTGAAGTTTTGTCCTCTCAACAGGAGAAGATTGTTCAGGAGCTAATGATAGGCAGCTGGGAGTTTTGTGATTTAGTGGTACTTCAGAAGTCCTTACAGTTCAAAGTATGACAGGAGCTCTGTAAATGTTCACTGCTAAACTGGGTCACAGATGATTGAAGTACAGAGGCCTGACTCTTCCATGCAGGTTAATAGTATCTGACTGGAAACACCAGACCCTGCCATTCATCAGAAGTGCTGTAGCTTTGAGCTAATGACTAATATGTTGGTCCAGAAGTTGTGCTTTCCCCTTAAATTGCCCTACCTCTTAATTATTGAGCTTCTCCCTCTCACAGCTTGGCAGGATTAGGTATAGAGGAAAGGCTGAAGAAAGTTTGTGGAAGTAAAATTGCTGGAGGATACTTCCTGTTACAAAGACATGAGCTGGAACAAGTTTTCCTGCCTGCAGACCCAGGAGATGAATCTGCTGGTAGGACCCTTCAGTGTATTCAGCTGTTCCATGTGAATATTCCCTCTTTTCTGGACTCTGCACAAACTCCAGCAGAGACAAGCTAGGATCATTAGGACACCACTTTGCAGACTAACTGGTAAGCCTTAAACCACAGCGTATTTGTCATGCAACGTAAGGACACGCAGCCTCCTGTAAGGTCTGAGCAGTTCATGTACAAAGAACAACCACAGCTTGATGTGGCAGATTCCCTCTTCTTAGCCGGTAGAGATCAAGCAGCAAAGGGAGAGACAAAGTAGTAGTTGTTATGGAAGCACCCATTATAAGTGGTGCAATTCTGCAGCACATTTATATAAAAGCCTATGAGAAAGTCTTGCAGAGCTTCCCTTTAAAACTGTATTTGTTTACATAGGATGCAAAATGGTGTAGCCGGCATTTTCCCAGTTAGGTGAATATTAAATTATCAGAATTTTGGACATGCTCTTGCAGCCTTTTACTGCAGGGCCTGATGGACTCCAGCTGATGTAGAATGAATTGTCTGCAGGTGACTGGAACTGGTTGAACAATTTAATCAGCCTTCCTCCCTCTTCCCCTGCCCTATCCCCTTGCCTCTAAAGGAAAAGAAAAAACAGTCTATCGTGGCTCTAGCTCTGCTGCCAGAAAGAGAAGCCATAGAGGTAAACTTGAATTTTTTTTTTTTCCTTCTCTCTTTCTGGAACGATGATCAAAAGTTACTTAATGCTTCTCTGCTATGAAATCACAGCGCTGAAGTGAGGAGTACTGCTGGGATTCTCCTGTGCAACAATATGCTCATGAAGACTTGCTGCCATCTCCAGAAACAAGGACTTCAGTCTTCAGGTCAGATTTTTGCTATCTTTAATTTAATCGCACTGAGGGTTACTTTCGTCAAATGTTTTGCATTTTTCCTCAAGTATGCCAGGAGAATTTTATATGCAGGTAGCCACAGAAATCTAGGATAGCTAGCTTTGCAGTGCACCAAAAATTTCTTTTTTAAGGAGTGAAAGTACTCCCTGGTTTAATTTGCAAATTATTTAATTGAGCTGAATTGATGATTTAACTTCCAATATCACATAGTGGATAGATGGAAAAACTTTTAAGTCTAATGTGGGGAATAAAAGAGCAGTTTAGTTGCTTGTCAGAGTGGGTGGGGGAAAAGAGAAGATCTTAGTGATGTGACTTGATATTTACTTGCTGCTGTTTGGTAGTAACGTGAAATAACGTGGAAGTTTTTCCGTTTTCACCTTTCATGGTTTGACACTTTACACGAAGGCAACTTTTGGCAAAAGGAGTTTAGAATAAAGATTGTGTGGGGCTGTCTTAAATGGTGCTACTGCTCTCAGCTGTTCGACACGTAGGGCACCAGCAGCCCAGCTGGCAGGGGCTGCTAGTCCCCAAAGTGTTAATGTGGTTCGGCTGGGGGCCAAGCCAGTTCACTTGTGTGAGAGGTGGTTCGTGGGGGTGGAGGTATGAGCTGAGCCTGAACTTGAGGCAGGAACTTGGAGGGTTTTGTAGGTTTGGGCAAAAGACTCCAGTAACACAGGTGTGATGGTGTAGAGGGACTATGGGTGTGCTTTGTTGTCACGCACAGCCGAGCCAGGCGCCGTCAGTAACGGCTGTGCTGCAGAAAGTACCTCC